ACATCCAATTGTACTTCCTGCTCATCTAAACTGTGCTCCCTCTTTTCCAGTCCAAAGGCCATTCAAAGCCACCAATGATGCTCAGGGAGTATCCCAATGGCCCACTTGAAGTGGTGGCAGCCAGCGGCACTCCTGTGGTTTTCCCGCTACAAGTGGTTTTTAGCTCATTGCTATCCTTGTGCTTTCCTCATTAACATCAGCTCACTCGGTGATCCCAATACTCTTAGAGGACTGGGCCAGGCTTTGAGTTTTATTTCTCGATTTTTCTTGATATCTTTTGTTCTTACATCACCTAGATATCTTCCCCCCCTTTCCTGTATTCCTCCCCCACTCTCAAGGAGCCATCCCTTAACAACAAATAATAAAAAAAAAAATTCCCCAAAACCAATCAACATGTCAAAAATAATCTGAAGTTAGATGCAGTGTTCCATACTGGCTTCACAAATGAACGCACATCTTCTCCAGTTTTTCTTTGGGCCAACTTTGTTCCTTGGGACATGCTTTTATATTCAGCCTCTCCTGTTACCTGTTCTACATTCTATCCCCTGTCTATTTTAATAAACGTTTAGCACAGTGCCTGGCACAGAGTAGGTGCTTTAGAAAATGTTTATTGAATTGAACTTTTAAAATCTAATTCATTCAAAGAATTCCCTGTATGTTTTATCAGTCTTTTTAGACATCTCCCTCATTTTTTCCTTGGCAGAATTATTTTTCTTTATGTCTTTAGAATTTCATTCTTGAGAGCTTCCCATTCCTTCTGGTGTAACTTACCCTAGAAAATAGTAGTCTATGACATCATGTCCATCTTTTCACTGGACCCATTAGAAATTTGCTTTCTCCAAATGGAAGGTACATGACAAATTCTGCCTACTTTCCTCACATGGAAAATGGGTTAGTTCTAGTTAAGTGATTCTTAAAGTCCTTTCCAACCTTAAAATCTATGACCTTCTGAAAGTAAACTTGGCCAACACAAGACATCCTTCTAGTGGTGGAAAAAGTTAACTAAAAAGTCAATACAAATTTGAGAAAACAAGTTAATGAAGAAACAATCATCTGGTTTTCCCCAGTTCTGTTTTCCACCTAAAGTAAGGAGTTTTGCATAACAATATCGAAGATAGGTTGTCAGAGATGCACAGAAATAGGCATTTGCATATTATTAATTGTGACATAGGCACATGAAGAAGTATCAAGGAGATAAGAGGAATAAAAGGTATTATCAAAGAGGCATATGATCAGAAAATAAAGAGGGATAAGAGACAGGCAGGTTTCTACCTCTAAAATGCTTCAAATCTCTCCCACCCTGTGTTGGGTGGAAGTTTTGTGGAGGTTTTATGAGAGGACATGCTCAAGAAGTCCACAGCATAAGTAGGTGTGCATGGTGGGGCTCTGCACCATTGGAGAGAGTAGCCATCACCAACAATGTGGATGGACCCCAAACCATTGCAGTGCTGAAGGATGAACACGTATTATCTATCAGACACACCTTTATAGCATCAATGAAGCCCTAAGAAAATACCAAACCCTGTTAGTTCATGTGGAAAGGTCCTAAACAAGAATGGGAAAATCCTCATTGACTTTGCACTCAAGAGCCAACATCCTGCAATCTCAGTTTTCCTCCACTATAAAATAAGGGAGCTAGACTCAATAATTTCCAAGATACCAACTAGCTCAAAAATCCTTATAATGCTAGAAAAAACAGGCAAGTTGAGCCTGGAGATGAGATGACATTGGAGGACATGAGAGTTGCCTTCCAGTATCTGAATGGCTATCAAGTGGAATAAGCACTAGCTTTGTTCTGCTTGATCCCAGGATAGACTGCAGTGACTAAGTTCTAGAGGCAAACTTCAGCTCCATGTGAAGAGAAGCTTACTGACAATGAGAGCTGCTCTAAAGTGAAGAATGGTGGCTTCCCACTCCCAGGAGGCTTTAGAGCAGAAAGCGCTTGACCATTTGTTGCAGATGTTGTAGTCAGATTGCTTGTACAAGCCCAAGTTGGACTAAACAGACTATGAGCTCTTTTCCAACTTTGAGAGCCTGAGATTGTGGGATGGCAATTAACTCCACTCTTGGACAGCCTAGCCCGACATAGATCACTGTCAGCCCCGCTGTGTGATGAGAGCTTTCGGTCCTTCCTTACCTTCTCCACATCCTGAGTCATCTAAGTCATTTTATTGAGTCCTTAGTAATTAAACCCATTGGGTGAATCTGGGGCTCATGTGCAATCTTTGGGTCTCCCTGACACTCTGTGCGGTTGGACAAAGACTACCCCCACTCACATGGTATAGATATGAAGAGAAGCGGTTAGCATTGCAGATCTCCACCATCCCCCTCAGAGCCAGGAAAAGGAAATGGTTCTCAAACATGTCAGCTTTCATCTGAACAAACAATCAGGAGCTACTAAAGGGTCCCTTCTAAGGGCAGTCAGAAGACGGGGCCCCCAGGCACTGAGAAAGGAGGGGAGAGGGAAAGAAACTCCCAGGCAGCTTCAGGTGCAGTTGCCTAGAAATGTGTGTATAAGCAACAAGACCTCAGGGCCACTAAATGTCTCATCTGCCTCACAAGGAGCACTCCATAGACTTTGTGGGCCTCAATTAAAGACCCAGGTTGTTTCTAGGTCCACCCTTTGAAGTCTGTAAATGCGAGTTATCATTATTGTTTTTCCAGTCAACTGGTGCAGAGGATCAATTCAACTAGATTTGTTGGCATCCAGTATAAAAAGCCCCTCCCTTCAGTCCCCCAGCATCTCCCCCCCAACCTCAGCATATTCAATGAATCACTTTGCATTATAATTGCATAGGTGACAGCCTCAATCCAGGGGGCCCCGGGGAGTGAGAAAGGCTGGGACCTTTGAAACAGATTTATCCAGGAGGTCAGCCTCTGGCCAAAATAAACCACCCTGTCCAGATAGCTATTTCTAGGTAACTCCCTGGAGGGAAGTTATAGCAGTTATTGTTCACATGGGAAAAATGTGGAGTGGAAATCAAGTCTCTGAAAGCTGGCATGAAAATGCAGGCCCTGGGATTTCAGTTCAAAGTGGCCAGGTCATGGCACTGCCAAAGCCTTGCTGGACGGGTCAGAAGGTATGTGTGCTCCCAAGAGCTTGTCTTTTATTGCCTTCTACAGGCAAAGTCGACGGTAACTCATTTCACCAGGACATCGGGGTGGGGAATAGGGATTGAGAAGAAATGCTGGGGACAACTTGATTAATGACCTAATTGAAAACGTAATCATTTAGATCAGAGATTCTTAAGCTGGGGGCCATGAATTTATTAGAAAAGGAGAGAGAGAGAGAGAGAGAGAGAGAGAGAGAGAGAGAGAGAGAGAGAGAGAGAGAGAGAGAGAGAGAGAGATACAGAAAAAGAGAGGGAGAGATACAGAGAGAGAAGGAGAGAGAGAAATACAGAGAAAGAGAGAGTGAGAGATACAGAGAAAGAGGGAGAGACAGAGACAGAAAGAGAGGGAGAGATACAGAGAGAGAGGGAGGGAGGGAGAGAGATATAAAGAGAGAGGAGAGATAGAGAAATACAGATACGGGAAGGGGGGAGACAGATACAGAGAGAGAGGTAACTATTTCAATACAATTTGGTTGCCTTTGTAATCTTATGGATTTTACTTTATGCATTTAAAGGCTTTATTCGAGGAATTCATAGGACTTCACTGGAATGCCCAAGGGGTCTGTGACACGAAAAGATTAAGAACTCCTGATTTAGATGGAAAATTTTCACAAGCCAAGCTCTGCTACTTCCTAGCTGTGTAATTTTCAGCAAGTGACTTCAGTTCTCTGCACCTCAGTTTTCTCTCCCGTAAAATGAAAGGTTGAATTAGCTGACCTCCTGACTGCCCTCCAGCCCTAGAACCTGAATTCACACAGCATCTCCCAGCCTCCTTTGAGTGGTCATAGCAAGGGAAGGAGGAAGTGCATAATTTCTGTAGGGCTAAGCCCCTGAGGACATTGCCTCTAGAAGATATTAGAGAAAGCTCTGAAGCATTACGGACTGAAGCATTATGAAGCTTACTGTCATTCTCAATTTAAAACATTTTTTTTAAAGACATGGAAAACCTGCCTTGACATACCTGCAAAAATGCATTCCCATGCAGCAAAAGGCACTACCAAGAATGAAATGGGTTTGGACCCTTGCCTCAAACTGGACTTTTGTGCCTTCTCTGTGCTCATAATCATTTCTCATATTCATATGGAGCCTTAACGTTGGCAAAAAGCTTGACATGGATGGTCTCCCGTAAGTTTCATGGCAGCCTTAGGAGGTAGGTAGTAGGCTCTACCAGCATTATTATCCCCATTTTACAGATGCTGAAACTGAGGCTAAGAGAGGTTAAGGTCCTATCAATAGGAAGATGGGGCAGCAGAGCCTTTTCCACTGTACACCTGCTGCTTCCCTTTAGGGTATTGACCACATGCATCAATTTCGCTTTCTGAAGCTATGAAACTCCCAGCCAGGCCCCGGACCTGACATTCCCTAACAACCACCACCACCACCACCACCACCACCACCACAACCACTCAAGCAGCAGCCAAAGCAACAACAACAACAAACACTGTTTAGCCATTTAAACCCCCTACAGAGAGAGCACAAGAGGCAAATGGGCACCTAGCCCACCTTGAGCTTCCTGAGCTACCTCTGCCAAGCCAGTTGCCAGCCCTCACTTTGGCACTCCTGCCAGGGACCAATGATGGCTCCACAGGCTCACCCAGGAAGATCTGCTTTTTGCCTCTTCCAGAAACAGGGGGGACCTCAGGCCCCAGGGGAAAGGCAACAGAAACTGGGGTGTGGCTTTTACCTAAACTGTTGCATAGGAGCCGAACTGGCCAACAAGAGGCTAGGAAGAGTCGTACAACCATTAGGAAATGGCCTGACTCTTCATTCCCAGGCTTCTGGACCTTCTTTTCCCCAGCCACGAGTCCCATGCAGAAGCAGCCATGTCCCCTGCTGAAACTCTCCCAAACTGAAAACCCGACAAATGAGTTAGCCAAGGCTACTTACATATCTCTTGAGCTTCCTTTCAGGGGGCGACTTGATGAGCCAGCCGGTGCAAACCACATCGCCTGTGCTCATTGTCTTCACCTTCTCCTCTTGTCCTCCAAGTGGCCAGCCTCTGGCCTCCACACTCAGCCTCCAGCCTCCAGCCTCCACTCCCTCGCTTACTGGAGAGGAGGAGGAGGAGGAGAAGGAGGAGGAGGAGCAGGAGGAGCAGGACCAGGGCGAGGAGGAGGGTGACGACAAGGAGGAGGAGGAGGAGGAGGAGGAGGCGGAGGAGGCGGAGGAGGAGGAGGAGGAGGAGGAGGAGGAGGAGGAGGAGAGGAGGAGGAGGAGGAGAGGAGAGCCTGCGTGCGGGGCCGTGTGCCTCTGTTCCTGCTAATTTGAAACTAGCAGCAGTGCACAGCTTCCTACAGCTGTCCTCCAGGCCGGCTGCTGCTCAGGTTGCCACAGGGTTTGTTGTTGCCACCAGAAGGAAGTCGTGACATGAGAGCCAGGCAGCCCCAGACTGCCCTCCCACCAGAGGCGCAGCATGCTGCGAGCCCCGCCAGCCGCCAGCCTCCAGCTGCCAGCATCAGCCGCCTGCAGCTGCCGCCGCTGCCGCCGCTGCTGCTGCTGCTGCTGCTGCTGCTGCCGCCGCCGCCGCCGCTGGCTGGGTTGGGCTGGGCCCGGAGGCCAGGCGGGGCGGGGGGCGGTGATGAAGGGGAAGGGGAAGGGGGTGGCCAGCCCCCCAGCCCCAGAGCACTGGGGAGCCGGGCCAGCCAAGGCCGCAGACTCATCTGGCCCCAGCCCAGCCTCCTTAGTCACTGGCCCTCGGGGAGCTGTTCAGGAGTGTTTGTTGTGGAAGAAGAACAGGGAAAGAGATCAGGCCCAGGGCAGAAAGGAAAAAAGCCTAGATCACCAGATAGACCAGAACAAGACAGCCGCTGCCTCCTTCCTCCCTCCCTCCCTCCCTGCCTGCCTGCCTTTCTCCCTCGTCTTTCGCTGCCTCCCTTCCTCCTCCCTCCTTTTCCCTGCCTGCCTCCCTCCGTCTTTCCCTCTCTCCCTCCCTCCCTCCATCTTTCGGTGCCTGCCTCCCTCTCTCTGCCTGCCTCCCTCTTTCCTTCCCTCCCTGCCTACCTGTCTTCCTCCCTCTTTCCCTGTCTGCCTCCCTCCTTCTTTCCCTGTCTGCCTCTCTCCCTCTCTTTCTGCCTCCCTCCCTGCCTGCCTGGATGAAGGTGGGGTTGTGGTGGTGAGGCAATGCCCCAACCTTCTCTTTCACCGGGGAGACAATGGTGCTGCTGCCCATGCCGTGCCCAAGCTTTCTCCTCCTCCTCCTCCTCCTCCTCCATCTCCTGGGAAGGGGTTTGGGGGGCTGAGGAGGAGGAGCCAAGTAGCAGCAAGCACAGTATATAGTGAGCGGGAAGAAAGAGAGGCAGGAAAGAAGATTGTGTGCCAGGGCCTTTTGCATTTCATTCCTGTCCCAGGCTAGAGTGCTTGTTTGCAAAATGATTTTTAATTCAAACAGAACCCAGTTTGAACAAAGCCTGGCCCAGAGCATGAGCTTTTCCATATGGAATGATGATGTAGGACACCACTCGGCCCAACTCCAGCTCTACACAGAGGTCACAAAGGCACTGCTTGCCCTCACCAAGCTTCCTCTCTCCTTCTCTTCTATCCCTTAAAGGGCAATTGGCAGGAGGGGGAGGGGGGGGGGGGTGAAATCTACCTTCAGAGTACAGAGGAGAAAACAGGAGGCAAGGGACTTGCTCAAGGTCACACAGCCTGTTAGCAACAGAGCTGAGACTAGAACCCAAGTAACTGGACTCTTCAGCCAAGGCCTGAAAACATGTATCTTATTGTTATTGGTGCCTTTGATTTTTATATCACATTCATTTCTAAGCATCTCCCTTTCCCTCCCCATCTAGTAAGCAATGCATCCTTGTAACACAGATTTTCAAGAAAAAGGGTTGGGGGGGGGGAAGAGTTTAGCAAAGCTAGCCAAGACATCAACAATTGGAAAGTACATGCAATGCTCCCTGCCCACAGTCCCCTGGCTCAGCAATGACACAGAGCCAGGAGATACATTTCCTCAACTCTTGTCTGGGGCCATGCTTGGGCATTAGAATTATGCTGTATCCATCTACATCACTGGAGTCTTTGTGTATGTCATTTTCCTGCTTCTGCTTTAGTTCCTTTTGTATCAATTCATTTAAGTCTTCCCAGGCTTCTCGGAATTACTCATGTTCATCATTTCTAACACAGTAAGAATATTCCATTGCATTCATGACCCTACAATTTGTTTAGCCATTCCCCAAACAATGGAAAATTGACTTTATTTTCAATTCTTTTCTACCACAGAAAGTATAACTATGAACACTTGGGCACATATGGAAACTTTCTGTCATTCTGTCCTTGGGATCTATAACTAAATGTAGGCTGTTTTGGTCAATGGCTATGGATACTTTAGTCACTTTTAAAACATAATTCCAAACTGCTTTCCAGAATGATTAGATTAATTTACACCTGGATCATCAATGTTTTCCAAGAGACTCCCTCCTTCCCACCAAACAACGGCTATTTCCATCTGGTCATCTTTGCCAATGTATGTGAGGTTAAATGTCTGAGTTGATTTGACTTGTATTTTATTATCAATGATTTGGAGCAAACTCTCCTATGGTTGCTGATAATTTGCAGTTCTTCTGGAAACATTTATTTATGTCATTTGACTGTATCAATTGGGGGAATGACTCTTGGTTTTTTATTTGTATGAACTCCCTATATATTTTGGATATCAAACCCCCATCAGAGGTATTTGATGCAAAGATTTCATCCATGTCAATGGTTTCCCTTCTTAGCCTGGCTACACTGATTTGATTCATGGAAAAGCTTTTCAATTTTGTATCTTCAAAATTATCTATTTTGTCTTTTGTGATCTCCTCTATTCCTCATTTGACTAAGAATTCTCTTCCTGGCCACAGCTGTGAAAGGTACCTGATCTGGTTCTCTTCTAAATTTTTAATAGTGTAGTCCTTTATATTAAGGTTACATATCCTTTTTGAGCTAATTGTGGTAGATAAAGATGTTGGTCTAAAATTATTTTTTCACCAAGCTGTTTTTCAATTTTCCCAAAAGTTATTATCAAACAGGAAGTTCTCCGAGTAGATTACATCCTCAAGTTTATCTAACATTGGGATATTAAGTTTAATTTCTTTTTTCTGATTCCTGTTTATCCTGTTTGTTCAACTGATCAACTTTTCTATTTTTTTGGATGATTATTGCATTATAATATTACTTGAGATCTAAAAGTACTATTCCCCCTTTATTCCTCCTTTTTTCTCATCATTTCCTTTAATTCCAGTTCTTTTGATCTTCCAAATGAATTTTCTTATTATTTTGTCTACCTCTATAAAATACTACCATGGCAGTTTGATTGGCATCGTATTGTATTGGCATGGCTCACATTAATATACTGTTGGTGGAGCTGTTGTGGATTGGTCCAGCCATTCTGGAAGCAATTTGGAACTACGCCTGAAAAGTTGCTAAATTGTGCATACCCTTTGACCCAGTGAAACCACTGCTAGACCATTACCTCAAGAAGATCAAAGAAAGAGGAAAATGATCCATGTTGACAAAATTCATTTATAGCAGTTCATTTTATCATGGCAGAGAAGTGGGAACTAAGAGAGTGCCTATTAATTGGAAAGTGGCTGAACAAATTATAGTTCATGAATATAATGGAATATTATTGCATGTTTCAGAGAAAATTGGGAAGACTTATATGAGCTGGTGCAGATTAAACTAAGTAGAATCAAAACAATTTATGCAATAACAATAGTGTAAAGAAAAACAACTTTAAAAGACTTAAGAACTCTGACCAATGTAATGACCACAATTCCTGAATAACCAAATGTGAAGCATGCTACCAACCTCTTCACAGAGAGGTGATAGACTCCAGGATGCAAAATGAGAAATAATTTTTTTGGACCTAGACAATAAGGAAATTTGTTTTGCTTCATTGTGCATATTGGTTATAAGGCTGTTTTTTTCTTTTTCCAGTGAGGAGAGAGGGGTAAGAATAGGGTTCCCCTTCTCCCCCCCCCATGAGAATAGGAAAAAAAAAGAAAAGGAAGGTCAGAAAGAACTACAGACACAGAGGACAGCTTTCAGAGTTACATTTTAATTTATTATATAATTCAAAAGAAAAATAATCCCTATATCCAAAGAGTCAAATATACAGTGAGCAGCATGGATCTGCAGTACTCCCAAGTGCTGCTAAACTCGAATAAAATGTAATTGGAAAGTAATTAACAAAACCAATAAAAATACAATGAAACATAAATAGCATTATATTTTTTGAGGAAGAACCATTTTTATTCCTTTCTTGAGCCAATATAATGAATTTTGTTATTAATTATTCATTTTAGTTCATAGAATACTTTCATTTACCTACAAATTGAGTCGTTTACCATAAATGGCTCCATAATACAAATATTAAAATTCATTTAATTTTATCATTTTTTAACTTCTAAATAATGAAAATGCTCCTTTTCAAGACCTTTAGAAACTTGGAGTGTGAAGACTACAAATTATTATCACACTGTAACTGACAAACTCCCTGAAGTGCATTTGAAATTACCAGAACTTTTCTCATTAATACTTTGAGGGTTCTTTTTTCTTTTTCAAAAAAATTAATTTATTTTTCACATTCAGTTTTTTAAATTTCAAATTCTAAATGCTTTCTCTCCCTCCAGTTCCTCCCCCACCCATTGAAAAGGCAAGCAATATGATGTCTGTTGTATATGTGAAGTTGTGTAAAATATTTCCATGTTAGCCAGGTTGCAAAAAGGGAAAAAAAGGCAAGTAAAAAAGGAAAGGTAAAAACAATATGTTTCAATCTGCACTCAGAATTCATCAGGTCTCTCTCTGGAGGTAGATAGCATTTTTCATCATGAGTCCCTTGAAATTGTTTTCAGTCATCGTAGCGATTAGAGTAGCTAATTCTTTCAGAGCTGAACATCTTTACGATTTTGTTGTTACTGTGTGCAATATTCTCCTGGTTCTGCTCACTTCACTTTGCATCAGTTCATAAAAGTCTTCCCAAGATGTGGGAAAATTGGAACACTAATGCATTATTGGTGGAGTTGTGAAATGATCCAACCATTTTGGAGAACAATTTGGAACTATGCCCAAAGGGCTATAAAAATGTACATACCCTCTGACCCAGCAATAGCATTTCTAGGGCTATATCC